TAAGAAAAAGATCAGCCCTGGCTGGTGTGGCTCAGTGGACTGAGCACCAGCTTGTGAACCAAAGGGTCTCTGGTTCAATTCCCAGTCTAGGGCACATGCCTGGGTTGTGGGCCAGGTCCCCAATAGGAGGTGTGACAAAAAGGCAACCACACATTGTTTCTCTACCTCTTTCTCCCTCCCTTACCCTCTCTAGAAATACATAAATAAAACCTTTTAAAAAAAGAGTCAAAATTATGAACAATAAAATGGCAATAAATACATATCAATTGAATCTAAAAAACTAAGCAAACAAGACGAAGAGAGACAGAATCATGGACACAGAGAGCATTTTGATGGTTGCCAGATGGGAGGGCAGTGTGGGGGAATGGATGCAGAGGTGAGATTAAAGAGTACAAATAAGTTGTTACAGAATAGCCATGGGGATGTATAGTACAGTATAGAAAATGGAGTAGCCAAAGATCTTATACACATGACTAATGGACATGAACAATGATGTGGAGATTGCCTGAGGGAGTGGGGGGTGCTGTGTGGAGGGGGGCAAATATTTTTTAAAGCCAGTGTTAGAATCAAAATTTGAATAGTTGAGAGTACCTGACCTGAGAACACTCAAGTTCCAGTGCTCTCCTACCCACAGCACTCCACCCCAGAGGACTTTGTACCATGACCTGACAGAGGGTCCCTCTTTGTCTAAAGATGCTCAGGCCCCAGGTAGCCAACTAATTCCATTCACAGTCCTGGGACTGAAAGTCTTCCTGCTCAGTCAGATGTCATTCCAGCAGTTTCTGCCCTGAGTCTAGGGTGCCAGCTGTAAATCTTGAAGGAGAAAAAACATATTAAGAGTAGAGATGGCACTAAATTGAAACAACCAAAAAAATACCAAGGTCCTTGGGATTACATTTCTAAGACATGTGAGGCGGCTGGGTTTAGTTGGACTCACATGGGTGGTGTTTCGGTGAAGAAATCTCAAGCTTTTACATACGTAACATTGCCTTTTAGTTAGGCTGAGAATGTTTTTTTTGAAATATCAGAAAAGTGACTACCAATGGGACTATAGGGTGGGGTTTCGACTTGAGACAGCACAAGGGAAGTTTCTGGAATGATGGCAATGTTCTGTATGTTGATAGGGGTTTGAGTTACACAGGTGCCGGCATTTGTTAACTTACAGCTAGCTATACACCTAAGAATTGTGTTTTTGTATGTAAATCTTTGACTGAGAATATTGAACTCTAGTAAATAAACATGATGAAGTAATGTACAATGGCTGCAGCTTACTTGAGATGTACTAAAAGTGGATTAACGAGTAAATGTGTTAAAACTAGTGTAGTAGATGTCAATGGTAAAATCAAGGTGGTGAGTACACAGGTGTTCGCACTAAAATTCTTTGAACATAGCCATATCTTTGAAATTTTTCATAAAACTTGGGAACACTACCCAAAGCTTTATCAAAAGCACACAAGTTACTCTGCACGTTGGGTGTGCAGCAATCCTGAGCACCATCACTGGAAACAGAATTCCTTCCCGCATGAGCCGTGCCTTCCTCTTCACCATTGACCTTTCTTCTAGGACAAAACCTGACCCACATGCTGTCTCTCTTCCTCTGCACCTTCATAACCATGCCCTCCCTCTCTGGGCAAAGGTGAATGGAAAAACAGCACAGGGTATTCAGCTACTGAGCATATCTTTGTGATGAAGGCTGAACTCTGTCAGCATGCTCTCGATTAAGTCACCAGCATACCTTTTTGTACCAAGAAAACTTGTAAAAGCCTGACTTTAAAAAAAGAGGGAGAGAGGGAAAGAAAGAAAGAAAGAGAGAGAGAGAGAGAGAGAGAGAGAGAGAGAGAGAGAGAGAGAGAGAGAGAGAGAGAGAGGGAGCCTAGATGCACTAAAGATTGTCTTTTAATACTGGCATGGAGAAATGGCCAGCATTTGCCTCTTATTTTCACTGTTTATGGGGAAACAGCTTAACATTTCTTTAGCCCTAGAGGTGGAACAGATGCTTTGCATACGTTGGCTCCTATCGTCCTCACAGCCCTTTAAGTATGCATCTCACTCTCCTTTTATAAGGAGGCTCATGGTCAGGAAGCTAACAAACAGAAGATCCAGGAATCAACCTAGAATCTCACTGGTTCAAAACCATGTCTTTTCGCCAAAGCACATCTCTGACATTTAAAGTTCATGTAATAGCAGCAGTCATCTGGCCAGGAATTTAGAAAGCACCACTGATAAAGGAATAAAATTTGTAAGGGCAATTTCCTGTACTAGTCCAAAACACCACCTATTAAAAGGTATTTTTAAGTTTACAGTCTACACAGTATTGCTGACAAATGTAACAAGAAATACATTTGACAACTTTTCCCATTTTCTGTAGCTCTAGGGGCAGTTCCAGGTTTAACAAACCTGTGTAACTGAGGGGAATTCACTTTTGATGTCACCGTGTTGCCTGTTCATACATTAGAAACAGATGACCCAACTACCCTGTAATGACTTCCCATTTCGTGCTTACACCATCAGACAAAATTTCTTATCCAGTGGAATACTGGGAACTTTCCCATCAAACCAGATTCCTAAACTACAGAAACCATATAGTCTAGTAACTGCCCAGTAGGTGGCACTAGCTGTGCTAGCTACCCTGTTTTCCTTTTCTATCTTTAGTCCAGCGGTTGAAGTCAGAAGTCTTACTGTCCTACTAGGGTTATAAATATTTGAAATGAACCTAGCCCCATATGGCATTCTCAGAAATGTTCCTCATACTTCCAACCCAACTACTTTTCAATTTGGCCAGCCTCTCTCCACATAATAAAGCAGGAAATACAAGGAGATAGGCAATGCTGCAAATGTCTTTTCAGAGAAATAAAACCTGTTTTAAAAAAATAAGAGAAACCTAGGATGAACTTTCTTTGATCTGTCTAGGCCCAGATGAAGCCAGGGTGACTCCACTATATTCTGATTTCAACATCAATATAACTTACATGATTCTACTTGAAACCTAATTCAAAACAGTCTTCACACCCAGAAGCCATACTTAACCTCTGTTCTGCCTGGGACAACCCTTTATCCTTCAATTCTGCCCTTCAGGGGCACGTGTGTCCAAGTCAGATTTTTCACATTTTACAATCTAGAACTTTGGTATATTCTAGCCTCACAAAGGTTAAAAGCTGAGGGGCTACATGTGTGCTTCAAAATAAAGTTATTTCTGTGCTACAGGGAGACATTAGAGGCAAGAGACAAAATTCTTTAGTCTTTCTAGTGCAGCTCTGCCAGGCCTAGACTTAATTCTTTCTGGGACAGAATTTCATACTAACAAGTCCTGGGGCGACTCTCTTATGGGTAGTACATAACCAGTCTCTGAATCCAACACATGGTTGATGTAGGGACCAAGAAACTGGACTCTCATGTCCAGAAGCATAAATTTTGATGGAGTAAAGAAAAGTTGACTTGAATTTATGGTTGGAAGTGGGTGAAGAACTGGTTTTAAAGGCATGTCAGTAGCTCTCCAGCTGAGGCCAAGTTAGACACACAGTGTGACAGGGAGGGCTGCAGTGCCGACAGTCTCGACACCTGGGCTCCGCACGAGTGCGGCAGCTGGTCACCGAGCTCTGGGTTGGCATGTTTGTTCTTAACACGTCGGAAGCCGCAAAATTGTGTTACCTCTCAAGGTCTTTCAAGACTTAGTTGAAATGTCTTGTAGTCAAGTCCGTTAAAATGTTCATTTCCTTTACATCATACCAGTTACCTCATAGTGGTGCGTAGCTCCTTATGAGGTCCTTAATAAGAAAAAATGTGAAATAAATGGCCTGTTGGATAGACTGGTCTCGATTCTCTCTGGTCTGTTTATTCTGCACTGCACTTTGGGAGACCATTACAGACCCTTTTAGCTCAGAAACCTGGAAGTAATTTGGTTACAGAATCTGAATATAAACTCTGGTTCATCCCTAATAAAGCAAACTTCAAAGAATTTGGATAAAAGTTGAATGTACTTGGAAAGTAAAATATTTCCCTACCTCCTTCCCTTGGGGCCTAACATGATAGTGCTAATATTTCAAAGGTCACAATTAGATTTCCTCAGGAACTTACCTAAATATTAATTATCATAAACTACTTCGTGAAATGTGAGGCTATTCAATTACTCTAACATTTAGGGACCTCAATACACAGATGCCCTGTGGCCAAGTATATCCGTCTTTACCCACCAGAGAACACAGTGGGGAACAACTGTGACCCTTTTCTACCAGCAATGTTCAGACTGTCATCAGACAGGGGATAAAACAAAGAACAGGAAAAAGATTTAAAACAGATTGACAGGGACCAAAGGGGCGGGGGAGAGGGGGATAAGGGAGGAAAAAGGGGGAAGGGCCTAGCTGAAGAACAAGTATGAATGACCCATGGACACGGACAACATAGTGGGGATTGACTCTGGGAGCAGGTGGAGGCGGAGCCCAGGGCAGGGAAGAGCAATGGGGCAAAATTGGGACAACTGTAATAGAACAGTAAAAATAATAATAAAAAAATTAAAAAGCCATCACAGGGCAAGTAATCCCAAGAATATGCCTAGAGATAATAACAAACTTAAATTTGGAAAAACTGTTCCATGTTGATAGTGTTCTCACATAGTTTTCAGGTTTGCTGTATCTAGAACCTTTCCAAATACTTTTATAAAGAATCTTAAGAATCATGGCAACCTAAAAATGCTTCAAGGAGTCATTACCTTAATGATACCAGAAAAGGGAAGTTATTCAGTAACTACACCAGAATGTCAAATCTATATAAACTTACATTGCCATTGTGTCTTTAGATTGATGTAAAGCACTCAATTTGTACCTTCTAGGACCAGTTATCCTCCCTCCTATACTTTAAACATTCTCCTATCATAAATTATCTTTTTCTTTTCTACTAATCTCATATCTATTTGTTTTCTGCCATCATCCCCTTGGCATTATTACTCAACCAAGCAAATTAATTTTTTTTAAATGTTAAATGATAAAAACACAAGTGACAAATAGTACTATAAATATTCAGGATATCTTCAGGTTCAACTGTCCTCAAATTCAAAACAGAACTATTGAACCTACAGGAACAAAGCACAGGAGTTGGTATACTATAGAATATCTGCTTAAATGCCACTGGGAAAGTGTACGGCACTATTACACATCATGGCCTGGCCTCGTGGGTTTCATTTTTCTATTTCTGTACTGGAGCAATTCCCCCCAAGAACCTGACCAGACAGGAGGGGCCAGCTGGTTGATGAGACGTCATCTACTTCAGAACTTTTTTGTAGAAATAAAATAGGACCCAATCCTAGGAGCATGTATTTCTATACTAAGCAGTTTTTGTTTTCAGTAGGTGTTTAAACATTTAAATATAAGTTGATAGCTGAAAGCACCAGGAAGGAGGAAGGTAGGAAACTTTCTTCCTCTTCTTGTTGAGTATTGTCCCAGCAGACTGGTAAGCCAAATATTCATTATGGGTTGTAACTCACTTTGCTTTCGTGTTAGAGGCTTCCCTTAAGAAAAAAGAAATCTGTTAATAAATGATTAAAAAACATAGAACACGGTAAGATTATTAACACAAGTGTCAATTATAAAAGTATAACCTGAAGTCTCTCTCTATTTAATCTGACCATGTTAAAAGGTATCAATACTTCCACACCGAACCCTGCATTTTTTCTGTTCTTAAGGTATGACTATACAACAAATATTTGACTGATCATTATGTGTCAGAAATCATTCGAATCACTTACATGGAAAATTTCAAGTAATTCTACAAAGAGGTAACAATACTTATGTTTACAGTTGTGGAACCTAAGACTTACAGAGGTTTCAGATATAACAACTTGCCCACCATCACAAGTGAGATAATGAGGCCTAACTGGAAGCTCAGTGACCCATACTTATAGTGTAATTTTCCAAAACTCCAAAATTATCTTCTGAATCACCTTTAACACTGTATTCTTCCACAAATAACTTAGTGTTATTGCTCCTACTACCACTTGATTTAAAAGAAAAACATATATATTAATTTGTAATAATATTATTTACTCCAAATATCTGTAATTTTGCAAACATCTTAAGAAAATATTAGTCATAAAGTCAAATTAACAATCATCATCAGTATATAAAGGAAGAACTTCTACAATGCAGGGTGGGGCAAAAAGAGGTTTACAGTTATTTATATGAAAAATACAATTAACAATACAAGAATAAACTTTTACGTACTCAGAACGATAAACCTACTTTTGCCCCACCATGTATGTAAAACCCATTACCAAAGTACTATAAACCATAAATAAGCTCCTTAATATTGTGCATTATTTCATCTACCCCTTAACTCTCCTCACAGTGCCTAACACATAACATGTACTGAAATATTTGTCTGCTACACTGAATTAGAATAAATAATCTCACACGAATTTTATATTCAAACACTATGGAATTTTCAGAAAACAAAGTCTACTTAAATAATTTTGCGACTTGAGATGGGGGAACAAGACAGAGCAACAACTGCAGAGCTGGTATTCACCAGGCCGAAGTCGTCATTATAGCTACAGTAAAACGTACTGGCTCTCCACTGTAAATCACTGAAAGAGCAAAGGGTAGGTCTGTTAACATTAATGTAAGTTTTTATTCAAGAGATAATAAAAAGAGTTGAATTCTAACAAAGGAAAATCTCACCAGTTATCCACCCTACAATAAAAAGCGGAACTGGGGACCATTTACAACACATAAATAAACTCTACTTTTACATTTCTGCATAAAGCTGTACTCGCTTCTGAGAGAGCCATTTCTTAACTTTTGCTGATAAGGCTTTGTAAATTTTGTTCAGAAACTTTAATAAACCACACACACACACATACACAAACACACACACAGACATAACACACCCTTCAAATAAACTAAGTACCTAGGGTTTTTACTCCAGGCTGAGTTTTTACAAGTACCTAGGATCCTGTAACTTAAGACAGCATATTTCTCCATGAATTCAATTTGAATTGCCTTCACTATGTTTACTGCCCATAATTTTTAATAATAATTAGATAAATGTTTATAATGACCCTATAACTCCCTCAAATTATACTTTAATATTTAACATGGTAGTTTCAAAAAAATAAATACCCAAAGCCTCAGTTTTAAATTTTTTCTGTGTAAAGCATCAAGTTGATAACAAATATTAAAGGACCATCCTAAATAAAGTAAATGTAGCTTTTCTTCTAAAAATCACTTGTTATACTACAGATCACATTCTAAACTGTAACTCTGGTAAAGAATATGTTTTTTGGTAATAAAACAAGAATTTAGGATGATTCAGTACTTGGAAAATCTTAATGGCAGTCACCCAATGAAGAGGCTAGTCATTCCTGGAATCACAAACACTTACAAATTACTGCTAGCATTGATCAAGTTTTTGGTTTCTTTGATGGTTATCGCTTTAGTTGGCAATATCTGACTTTAAGACAGAGAACATCTCGCACTAAGCCTTATTTTAAATATTACAAAATGTACGCAGAAGATAGACTCATAGAGGCTATAATGCCGATGTCTTAAGTAACTCAAGGGTGAGTTATATCCAAAACTAGAGGATATCCAAAAACATTTTTGCTCTAGAAATAAATGCCCCTACTTTCAGCGTATTCCCATTCTTCAATAGGAGACTTGAGCAGCTTAACAGTTTTGCTATAAAAACAAACCACTTTTGTTAACAAACCAAAAACATAAAAAGAAACTGATAAAGAACATAGTTTTCACAGTTAACAATAAATAAAAGTGCAGTAAGTGTTCAAGTAGGGCATGTAGTTTAAAAACTACATGTGAGTATTTGGCATAGGTCATCTTTTAAAGGCTCTCCGAGGGTCCCTGCCATTACTTATTGTGGTAATGACTGTCTGAGTATTAGCTGTTCCTGGTAGCTGTGGATTTATAGCTCCCCGGCCACTGCTTCTACCAGCATATGAAAATTGACATCCCCTTGATTCTGGGCCAGGTTGAACCCCATTTCCTAAAAAAAGAATATAAAAATTCATCACCATTTGTAGAATATACAAATTCATCACTCATCTATAGAGGCACACCTATTTGAAGTTATAACACATGCTATTAATACTTACAAGTAATACTAGGGAAAACAAGTGCCTTTATCTTTAAACTACTGGAAAAAACCCAAGCTGGGTTCTAGGTTTTTTCAAACATATGACTACTCTAAGTATATTAACATGATGCTGCATTAACAGAGAGAAGAACAAAGAGCAACCTGGGCAACAGAATGAGAAATTGGTTGAGAAGAAAAAAGTATAGACGACACACTGCCTACACATTATAAGGGAAAAAGAGAGGACAAATGATGAGAGTGCTAGTACATTTGGTTCAAATACACTTATTAATGTCTCAAAAAAGACAATGTAGTTCTACCTTTTTAAAGGAAAAAAACAGCAGTTTCTCACAATGTGATGATCACCACTGTGCCAAAACATGGAGCTATCAGTTCAAATAAATGACAGCCACCTTAAGCAAACTCTCTGATCACCAAAGACTTTTCCCCAGTTATTAAGCATAAGACTTCAAAAGAGCTTTATAACATGGTGGTAAGAACCATTAACATGACATTTGAGGGTATTTGAAGGGTAAAGGCTAATCTTTTAAAGAGGCAGCTATCAGAATGTGAACTATTGAGTTATTACTTTGAAGATAAAAGGCTTTCAGTGTATAACAATAACCAGTAATTCTGCATCTGCTAATAATCACCAGATCACAAATATTTTACAACAATAAATGGAAAAATAACAACATATCACCAAATCCTAGATTTCTACATTATTAGTTAAGGTTCACTACCGTATTCCCAGTAGCTGGCCCAAATGTTTAAATATAGAATGTGCTCAATAAATTAGTTAAAGAGGGCATCTGCTTTCTAGAAAATTGGCTATCTGAGAATTCCCTGTTTACCAGTAGTTCCCTTTTAGAACTAATTTATGCCTAAAGACAGTATTTTCCTCTACAGCTTTCAAAAAATATACTCTCTGATTACAGTTATGCCAAAAAAAAAGAAAAATTCTTACCCACTGGTCCAAATGTACCTGTACCCATATTACTATTCGTGGAATTATTCTTCTGTTCACTATGTGCCTAAAAAAAATTTTAATTTAACCAAATGAGTATTTTTTAAAAAACACATTTATGTTATTAATGTTATTTTAACATGTTGAACCCATTCCTTTTTAATTTTTAATGTTTTCTTAAACAAAATTTTTAAAGATTTATCCAAGTCCAATCAATGAATGTTTCCCAAACCTTTTACCTTATTTTATTTCCTAGTTTTACTTCTTATCCAATCTTCAAAGTGCTAAATGGCACATATACTTAATATATGACATTACAGATACATATTCAGACTCACAAAACATACAAAATAAAAATGACTTTAAAAAAAATTCCTGCCCTGACTGGTGTGACTCAGTGGATTGAGAGCCAGCCTGCAAACCGTCACCAGTTCGATCCCCAGTCAGGATACATGCCTGCGTTGTGAGCCAGGTCCCCAGTTGGGGGCTGGAGGCCTCCAAGAGGCAACGTATAGATGTTTCTCTACCTCCCTGTCTTCCTCCCTTCCCCCCTCCTCCAAAAATAAATAAATAAAATCTTTAGAAATTGGTTAACTTAGAAGGCAACAGATAGCTTAAAAAAAGAAAAATTCCTTTTTTCAATATACTGTCTTCAATATACTGTGGGTATGACAGCGTTGGCAACCTCACCATAGAATTACAGTACGCAGTCAAAATTGGCCTAACCATAAAAATAGACTATACATTTGGATTAATTACCCCTTTGTTTTGTTGTCCTCGATAATCTGGGTTAGGTTCACTGAAATTTGGCACTTCTGAATACACCATACAAAATCTGAAAGAAAACAAAAGACAAGTTAAATGACTTCTGAAATAAAGTATCCAACCTCTCTTTATATAACAAGCATAACTTATAGGAATGACAAATTTAGATGTCAAATGAATTAGCTAAAAAACAACATGCTGACTAACTCTATTCATTTATAACAAAATTCCTAAATGCTTATATTCCATTAAAGCATCAAGTATTTGATTGTCTACAATGTATGAAACATTCTCTTTTGTATTTTAATTCTTCTGTACCACAAAAATACACCATGCCAAAGATCAAGGACAGAGAAACACATTTGTCCTGTTTTCCCCCATAGGCTGATGCCACTGAACCATGTTTAGGGTTCCAGAGTGGTTTTTCCAGCAGTGGTGATGGATTAGCACGGATCCATTCACACACTCTCATCCAGTCCCTCACTGTGGACCATTCACTGTGAATCTGCAAAGATAATCATTCAAGGTTAAGACTGGATTCTGCTGACATGAATAAAGGCAAGTGGCTTTCAAAATGACAGTTTATTCCAATGATTCTTAGAAGTTGACTATGGCATATATTAACATTCACACAAGATCCCCATCCCACAAGAAACTAGAACTAGTTTTGGTAAATGCCAGACTGACCCTGATAAAGTTAAGTCACTAAGAACAGAGAAGCAGTGGTTCTTCACTTAACTGATTCCTTTACTATAAATACTTCTCCATACATGAAGGTGACAACACGATCCTAATCTTTCAGTAATACTGATATTAAGTTCTTTCATTACGTATTGTTCTAATACACAGGTGGCAAACACAAGGCCAGTGGGCAGTATCCAGCCCTCCACCTTGTTTTATCTGACCCAGCACCTTGTGTCTATCCAGCAGCAATGCTGACTCCTTGCCCCTAGTTGAGGAGTAGTTCCATTGATACAGTCCTAAAATTACATCCAGCCCTTTGAAGGCAACTGCAAGGCTGATATGGCCCCTGGTGAAAATCAGTTTGACACCTCTGCTCTATTACTACTCTAAATGCAAGCATAAAACATAAGTGAATCCTAATTTTCCTCCTAGAAATGGCAGAGTTACCAGTTTTTGACCTCTAAAAGCTAGCAAGATTGTTTATTTGTCCACACAAAGTATCTTATCCTTGAAATAAGGAAGAGTTTTCCTTTACTGATTGATTGATTGACTGATTGATTGGGTGCCACTTTGTCTTCTCTCTTTAAATATCCTCTAAATTGATGGGGAGGAAGTAAATGTCTAAGCATTAACCAAGCGGAATAAACTAACGATTTGCCTTAGTGCCCATATCAGACTTTATGAGTATACCACAAATGTCTAGGGTAGCAAGTATATTGAATTACCTTTACACCCATAGAGAGGATAGTTCCTCCAAGTCAGGGTGGAGATTACCAAGATAGTAAGTAGCGCATGGAAGCTTGCAAAGCCTGTATGGTACCTAGACTGTGGATAAATACAGGACTTCATTTATCATTGCTACAAGTCCTTTTACCATGAGTACATATTCACCCATAAACAGAGAAAAAGACAATTTAAACTCATGGCCAAAACCCATAGTTAGCTTATCTGGCAATTCACTAGAAGACAGAGCCAACTTCAAATGGCACCTGAAAAATGCACATTACCAAAGCCTACAGAAATGGTCTCACTGGGGCTTGTCTCAAGTGCAGATTCTTAATGCTGTTTGCCAGAAACACTAACATTCTCAGCCACAGAAAACAGTATTGATAGCAGTTCAACAGATATCAATGTAGGGAAAGTTATTTTTAAATTCAATTTGCTGAAGGCATTCTGTTTAGCAATGAAAAACAAACCAAGAAAAAGATCTATAGTGTATACCAGGTTTTAGTAAACATTATTTGTAGTTTCTTCAACTATACAAAATGTATTTAACACTTACTCCCCAATTTTTTGAAGTTCTCCACCCCTCCCAGTATAAAGTGTCAGACATCCTTTCCACATGGATGCATATCTAGAAAGAAAAGAAACATTAGTTTTACAGAAATACGTATAGATTTTTTTCTCCTACTTATATTAAGTAAATATTTTTTGTATTTTTTGTATTGGATGCAGATGGGGATCAAACCCCGTGTCTACCATAGCAAATCAAATACAATTAATTAATCTTACTTTGGTTAACTTGTTACTTACTAAGGAATAATAAAAAGAAAATTCTACTGCCAAATTTTGACATAATCACCTAAACTGTATCAAACTCTAGAAAACAGAAGGTCTTTCTTTGCAAAGCAAGCATCACTATACTCTAAAGGGCACATTTTTAGTCAGTTAACAATGGGAGAACTTACAACTGCAGTGATTCAAGCAGAAATTATTTTTCAATCACAGGATATATATAAAATCAACACCCTAGTGTTTACTTTTATATTCATTTACTTGGTCTAGTCAGATTTGATATAATTGTTTTTCCTTTGCTTCCATAAAACACACAGGGTTCCCAAGCTCCGGAATGGTGATAGAATTTAATCAAGGGGCTAAAACAGCTAAGATCACCAATCTTTCACCCATCTGCCTCTCCAAATTTGCTGTTTTTAACACTAACTTGGCCGAGAAATTATTTACTCTTAACAATTTTGAATGCAGACAGCATCATTAGATGAACCAATCCTACGCATAAATCTAAAAAAATGTAAATTAATCAATATTATAAAAATTAGTCCAAGGTTTGGTTTTCAGTAGTTCTTTGTACAATTACTAATGTTAACTTCATGTCTTAGAATAAATTATAACCAAATATTGTTTAAGTCTAGTGATAGTTCATCTTTTACTACAGGTAATAAAAATCTGCTAGTTCCACATTATATATTTCTCTTTATTTAGTACAGTTTATTAAAGACTCACTCTATCAATCTTATGTTAGTTAAAATGACTTAAGAGACAGTGTACTGATATTTTACCATAGTAAAAACTGATGCATATTTTGAGAAAAACATTTAAAGTTACTACAGTTAAAACATTGAACTTGCACTTGTTTCAGGAAATAAGATCAACATTTGCAGGGTCTTCTGATAAACATATCAATATTCAAATTACCATTATTTAAATGCTTATCTTTCTTCAAAAACCACTTAGATTCAACTAGAATTTAAGGGTCTTACAGTGGGCCAGACTCTGCTGGATGTGTTATTTTAGTAAGTAAGGTATAACTATTCCCATTTCATAGAAGGGAAAGTTAATGAAGTGTGAGAACTTCAAGGTTACATTGAAGTTAGGAAATACCAGTTTCTTTAGTTTTGAATTTTTCTTAAAATTGTACTCCTTGGTAACCATAGTCCTTAAAACCCTAAAGCTACTATATAGCTTGAGTTTAGTTTTCCACAATTTTTTGGTTGGACAAATCTATGTATTTTTTCTGACTACAAAGTATGAAATATTTGAAAGGAGATGCTGTTTCCGGTATATAAAATACTTTAAATCACCTGAGAAGGTACTTTGGCAGCTAAAACTACTTTAATTATGCTAATCCTCACCACACCCTCCCAGGTAGGAATTCTCTTTTGGTAAGTTAAAGATGTGGAAGTTTAGAAGACACAATTAGTGTTATTAATGAGTCAGTGTATGAAAATTAAATGTCTAAGTTCTGACTCCCACTTCCTTCTCTGATGATACTCTGCCTCACTTCCTGAGGATGTAAGGCCTGTAAGATATTATTATCAAAGGGTTCCTACACTGAGTTATCCAACACATCTCAATTTCCACTTGTTTTTTCCTAGTTAAGGCCAATAAATTAATACAATTCTATTGACCATAAAGCTTCCAAAAATCTATTTTGGAAGCCCTTTTCCGGCCTTTTATCTTCCTAAGATAAAGATTTGGTAAATTTTTAAAGGCAGACTAACTACCAAACAACAAAGACTGCTAATTTTTAAAAGCCAATCTTCCAAGTGACTCTTTTGGATGAAGATATAGATGTCTTTCTGCCAAACATTTTCTGCGTATCATTCTGGGTTTTGTACATTGATCTTACAGCAGTAGGCACAAAAAATCATTTTTGAGAACGTGCCTTGCAGATTAAAATTCCCCTCTAAATATGCACAACTAAAATATTGGCAGGACTTCAAAAGTCATTAAAAGGGAGAAAAAACTGACAACTATATTACATTAAATAATTTATGAAAAAGATAAAATACTGAATACGTTAATATTCTCAATCTACTTGAGACTCAATAATCTCAGAACAGTATTTAAAAATCTAACCTGTAAACTAAGGAGGGTGGCGGGGGTCGATTCCTGGCTAAAACTGACTGCTAAAAAAAAAAAAAAACAAAAAACCTTTATTGATTTGAAGTGGGGGATGGGCGAAGGAGGCGGGTAGGGAAGAAGAGGGAAGGAACACCGATTTGTTGTTCTACCCATGACCGGGGGATACAACCCTCAAACTTGGCTATCCCTACCTTGCTCCAACCAACTGAACTACCAAGCCAGAGATTTGAAGTGACTGCTTTTAAAGGCAAGGTTGTTACATTCCAACGCTGTCCACCAGCCGAAATAATATCAAAGAGGCTCAAAACTCCTCGGGAGTGGCCCACAGAATAAACGTGGAACTTTAGAACTTGCCAAGGTCCTGGGTGTCAGCCAATCCCGATTCCACAGACTGTGCCCTCAGAAAGCACTCTCCCCCATCCCCCACTTTTATGCCAACCTACCCTCTGGTTAACCGAATAATATCCCCTGGTTGTATGAGACCTCCGATTTCATCCCACACGGAAATAGTGATGCTTCCCGTTTTATCGGCCACTTTGCATGATCTCACTTCATGGCCGTCTTTGGTTTTGGTCACGCGTCCTGCGAAGATTTAAAAATCAAAAGGGGAAAGGGGGTATATTAGTTAATGGGGACTTCCAGAAAAGCTCGGTAACTCCTGCTGATATCTAAGCGCATCTGAAAGCTGGGAAGAAGTTGAGCCCCGGGTTCTCACCGCAATATCCAAGCCCTGGGGGGGACCAGTACCACGTGGGCGGGGGAGGGGAAAGGAAGAGAGGAGGAGGGGGGATCCCTCAGCTCGCGGCGGCAGCGCCCTTCCCTCCTACCCTGCGAGGCACGGGGGCGGTGGGAAGGGCGGTGGAATGGGCTGCGGGCCCCACTTACCTATCTCCAGGACAATAAAGACGACATTTAAGTTTTTCAGTCCGGGCTTAATATCTTTTATAAAAAGTGGTGGGTCGTTGACCCCATTCATATTGAGGCAGGTGCGCTTACGGCTGCGGAGACGCGGGTGAAAAGGGAGCGGGACAAAGCTTCCCACCCTCCCGGGCTAGGGACCAGGGCAGAGGGGCGACCTTGGGCGGGGGTGGCAAGAGAAGGGGAGAAAGCAATTAGTCAGGGACCAAGGAAACCAGCCCAGGTGGCTGAGCCTGAAAAAAATAAAATGAAAATGAAAAATAAAAAATAAAGCGCTCAGAAGTTTAAAAGGAAAAAAAACGAACCACTCCGCACACTAACCCCGCTCCCAACTGGGAACAGGAAGGCAAGCGTGCGAACTGCCTCCTTCTTTGGATAAAAGGCAGAAAAAAAGACAGCGAGGGGACGCCTCTGCCCTGAGTCCCGCTCACATACACATGGGCGCGCGCCCAATCCGTCCCGGGATCTGGGAAGGGACCGCCTGTCACAGCGAGACGGGAGCACAGAGCAACCTTCAGCGCAACCAGCGTCCCAAACAGCGACTGCTGAACGCGCCCGCGCGCTGGCTGAACCCTCCAGGTGCTCCGCCCCTTATGACGTCACGTGGCGTTGGCACGCCCACCTCCTGGCTGAACGGCCTGGGGGGGAAGGGAAGCGAAGGGGTGAGTACGAATTGGAGACGCCCACGCAGCCTCCTTCGCTCCTCCCCGGCTGTCAGCGCGGGCCCCGCCCCCTCAGCCTTCCAATCCGCTCCGGGCACCGCCCCGCCCTGTTCCCGTTTCCGCCGTAGCGCGTAGCGTCTGCTTTAACCTGCCTAGTCTTTCTTCTGTGTGCTGCTACCACGCGAAGTCAATCTTCGGTTGTCTTGTCTGTTTTTTCTCTTCCCCTCTGAGTTCAGTTCTCTACATAGCTGCTTTAGTCCCGCAGTCACCGGGAGTGGTTGTGTGTAGGACTGAGTGGGCAGTCAAAAACTATGCTGTCCCCTGACTGGTCAGGTTGAAGGAGAAAGGAAGGGATGGGTCTTTAGCTGCTAGTCTGGAATGTTAGGACCAGAAGGAACTTGGAGATCTGTTCGACCACCTCATTTAAACATTCTTTAAATTGTTGAAATCCGGAAAGGTGAGGTAGCGTCACCCAGCTACTTGTAAGCAGGACTTCAAAAAAAAGTCTTCTGACCTGGTCTTGCACTTTTCACTCTGTAATAATTAGGCAGATGGACAAGTCGTTAAGTTCCTTTGTAAACTTCTCATTTTTCATTACCCCTGCCCTCTCAGGGTACACCCATTTGCTTTTATTCTCTACACTTTTTTAAAAATGGCTATTTTTAGAGCAGTTTTAGGTTCACAGAAATATGTAGATGCAGGGACAGATTTCCTATATACTCCTGAGCACCACATATACCTAGCTCCCCCCATTACCAATATCCCCCACCAGACTGGTAAATTTGTTACAGTTGATGAGCCTACATTAACACCTAACTATCACCCAAAGTCCAGCATTATAGTGTACAGAGTAATTTCACTGCCGCCAAAGTAACGTATGCCACCCGTTTTCCTTTCCTTTCCCCTAACTCCTGGCAACCACTGTTCTTTGTATTGTCTTCATAGTTTTGACTTTTCCAGAATGTCATGTAATTGGAATCATACAGTATGTAGCCTTTTCAGATTGGCTTCCTTCACTTACTGGTAATAGGCATTTAAATTTCCTTCATGCCTGTTCATGGGCTATGAAATCATGAACTTGTTTTTATGTATCAAAAAAATCAAAACAGCATGGGAAACCCTGAAACATAACCTGGAACAGGGCAGGGGGGTGGGGAGACAAAGAAAGTTTTCTTTATGTCATGTAGTGAAAAGGGCATGCCTTGAGAAAGAAACCTGGGCTCAAATTGTTTACTAGTTGTGTGACCTTTAGACATTTGATTAAGATTTCTAGTTTAATCGTCTGGACAAAAGAAGAATGTCTTCCTTAGAGGATTACATGGGCTATAAATAAATTATTCAACTATTGCCTAACAAATACTAGACATTCAGTAAGTACTTTTGCCTTATTTATTTTTATTATTAAAAAAACAATAGCTTAAACTGGTTATTTAATCTTTTCATCCATCCTGTTTTGACTGCTGATTTTTATCCCCATTTTACAGACAATGAAACACACCAGACACTAAAGAGCTAGAGAATGATCAAACTGGGTTTTGAATCTAGGCAGTCTTGACCCCAGAGCCCTCCGTTACCTTTATCCTAAAGGTAATTTTTAGACTTAAATTGCAGTGGTGAAACTACAAAAGTCAAAAGCACACTGAAGAAATAAAGCATTAGCAGTAAGGTATATCTTGTAGGGCTTTGAAGAACCACCTAATTAACTGTTTTTGATGGTAACAGAAATGAAGAATGTCAGAGAATTTTCATGGCAGAAGCCTTAATTTTTTCTTGATTCTTTCTGAATATTTTTAGATGAACCACCACTTTCCAAATATCTGCAAACAAATGGCATAGATATATCAATGCCTGAGATAAGTTTCAAAATCACAACATTAGCAGCAGGGTCAAGACAATATTAAGGAAGCAGAAGCTTCCATTTCATGATCAAATGTGGCCAGAGGGCCAAAGACATTGATGTAATGCTGGAAAGTGGTATGAAATAATATTAAAAACATGCTTTCAACATCAAATTAAAAAATAAGACATGTCTGTTAATGGCAGAACAACATCCAACCTTAGGACTCCCAAAGACTCCTAGAATCAGAAGCTCTGATTCTACCATGATTATTTGACAGGACTTGATACTTCAGTTGGATTTTTCCCCAAAGCTATATTCTTGAACATGGGCAAAAATTTTTTTTTAAATTCTCATAGAAGCAATATTTAAATCAGACCTTGGTTTGGCAAGATCTTTAAAATATTAACAGTGGACAGAAAACCAGTTAAGAATGGTGAGCAGAATTGTGCCAAGAGTTTGGCCACAGTTGTGGCCTCAGCCACTTGTTCTCAGAAAAGGCATTAGGTATGGCTGTTCAGACCAATTTTATTGACATTTTATAAAGAAAAGCCAAGCAGTTATGAAACCAAGCCCCACAAAAGCAGAAGCTGGTGCTCAGAAGAGCAGCCCAGCCCTCCCCTTCCCCTCACAGGACAGAAGTAGAGCCAAATATCTACTTCCTTCCCTGCTACCTAGCAGTTCTCAGAAAGGAAATGGCAACCAAGTGCTTTCTCATTTACCAAAACAGAAGACATCCTAGATAAATGAGGTGGTGTAGGCAGTGTACAAACTCTTCAACCCAGGCCAGTTGGTTTCAACTACCCCCAAATCACTCCTCAGGGATGGTAGTTAATAAAAATAGAAAGGGGATGTCCAGAAAAACAACTGTTGCCACTCAGATAAGCTTTCCTAATAGTACCATTCAGTGAAGTTAACAAAGAAATCCATCACTCGTCCCAGCCAGTTAGGTCATAATGATTATATTGCTGATTCCTTACTACATTCACAAGATGGTATGCTTCCTTCTAAGGCTCGTTCTTCAGGCCTCCTCATTTTCATGGCCCAAACATAAATTTATTCCAAGATGATGAGAGGTTTATGCTCAGAGTCTCAACACCATTACTCCACGTAAAAAAGATATTGCTTAGTGAGACTCAGTACAATGTCGGAGGGCATCCATTAGAATCTTGAACATAAGGTTCCAGTTATCTGGGTCCTCATGGACAAAGGTTTTCCTGTAACTATTCCTTCTTACCACTCACTACCTATGCTCTCTCCAGGTTCTGGTTTCTGGGATCACAAAGTTCATTTTCACTCTCTTTGCACTATCCATCAATTTAAAACTATTACAAAGTAAATAAAACAGGTACCTTTTGATACATCTCATGTGGTGAAATTAACAATAAAGAAAATAAGAACAACAGTGTTTTCATAGAATAAAGATAGTCCACTTTCTATCATAACTAGCTGGCAAGGTATTAAAAAAAGGTCTTTTCTTAATATTCTTAAGAATATTTAAGCAAAAGACTCATAAGTAATGTTTAATAATATTTGCAACAATAGTCACACAAACCATCCCTATAATGATAAATATTAACACACATGGAGCATTTGCTATGTGCTAGGCATTTTACAGATAAGCTTGTTATACTTATTAATATATTATTTAATAATTAATATATGTGAAATGGATTTTCTTATAGTAAGTTATGCAGCTAGGATTTAAAACCGACTGTTACATGCAAAAACATTTTTTTACAAAACAGATTATTTGTCCTAAAAAACGCATTTTTTTGGTTAAGTGGGTGATTCAGTTTTTAAGGATTTGCAACTTACAGTGATAAATGCAATAACATTTTATCTGACCTCTAATGTCTCTGATTGTGTGGAGACAATGAAACTGAATAATTTTGTAGTTTCTTTTGGGCAGAAATGCATCCCTAAATGGGTTAATTGAAGTCAGCTGTATTACCTTTTTAATGATAGAGTGAAGAACTCTGGCTTCTGTGTTCTAAAAAGTTTTTTTTCAAGTACACCATACATGTAAATAGTAGCCTGAGTTTATTGTTTATTCAGCGGAAAAAAAAATAAGATATTGGCAATGGAACTAACTCAAAACTAATGAAACAAAATTATTTCTTTATTGGCAAAACATGTGTCTAATTAGAGTATATATCGTAATCTTCATATTTAAAGGGATATTGGAGAAAAATGTACGAACAGAGCATGAGAAGGGTTCTGTAGAATCAAAAGTCCTTTTCATATTTTATGTCTAGATGCTTGAGAAAGGGTTACTCGCTACTGCTTGCTGCTATTTCCCAGTGTACTATGTTGCTATAGACTGAATGTTTGTGTCCCCCTGCCAAATCATATGTTAAAACTGAATCCCCAATGTGATGGTATTTAGAGGTATTTTGGGCCTTTGAGTGGTACTTAGATATCACACATGCACACCTACACATATACCAGTGAATCATCATGAAAGAACAGCAAATACTTCCTACAAACCCATAAATGAGAGTGCTTCTCATATGAGCATAGAATGTCTCAGTTGGAAGTATGTTCATAGATAATGTACTCTAACCCCTTCATTTTGTATATGAAAAAAATACAGGCCCAGAGATGTGAATAAGATTATTACCTACAGCCCCTAATGAATTAATGGATCTCAGTAATAATCATCATAGGCTGCTGATATGACAAGAAGGGACAACCAATCCAAATCAATTAAGTCAGAGTCTCTGAAGGTGAAACTCATGCATCAATATATTTTGAAACCCTTCAGAGAATTACAATGTGCAACCAAATCTGAGAATGACAGCAGGTTAGAAGAAACCTTTTTCACATGCTTTTCCTTGTTTTCCACATACCTACTCATACCCTGGAATAACATTTTATTTATATTAGCCTGGGAAACCCTGCAGTAAGATGAGTTTCTAGAAGTGAAATTACTGTGTATGTAGTTAAGACTTCTGATATGTATTGTAAAATTACACTTCAGGAATTTTGAAGAGATTCCCACTGCCATTTGTCCTTTGTGTAGGTATTAAATTCATTAATTTATTTAACAAAAT